GATTGATCAGTTATATTCACTGTAATATACACGTGTATTTGTACAGGGGGTATATTTATCACTCTGACCAATCATATAACAGCTTATTGATAGAAATTCAGAGGCCTGTGATTACAGCTTGCTATCAACAATCCGGATATTTCTTATCTATTGAAAATCACTCTAAATACTATTGTCAATTCATCAGCCAATGAAATCGATGATAACAAAACTTGTACGAAATTGAATATTGTTTACAAAACATGGTGGTGGATCACCGCTAAGACTCAGACTGTGAGAAAAAATTGCTGTTTAAAAGCTTTTTAGAACATTTTAATTCTATCATACGATTATCAGGTAAATATTTATCAGCATATGCCAAATGTTCAATTTTTAAAATAATGATATCAAAGGGGAAATGGGTTTTAGAATGAGTAGACATGTTTCAGCTTGTTCAGAATCTAAAACTGACATTGACAGCAAATTTCGGAATAAGTTATCTGCTACTCATACATCATTGCTAAAATAAATGATAAATTATGAATGCATTCTGTTCTGCCTAGTCTCAAGTAGCTGAATGTTGAGACATACTCCTTTCTCTACAGACGCGTTCTAGATGTACTATACACATTTTGCTATTGCTACTTTAGTAGTTTAATAGTCAACAGTGCAGCTGTAATGCAATTAAAAAAAATTTAAATACGAGGTTTTTTTGGCCTTTTGACCCCAAAATCGATTTCTACAGTTAAAAGTTTAGTTTAACACTTCGTTTTTAACCCTGTTCTCTGAAAAAAATTAAGAAATATTGTTTATATTCATGGAAAAAATCGACAAAGAATAGTTCTGAACAAAGCGTGTGTGGCACATGCTTTGTGTCATTTCTTTCAGACTTTGCCATTCTTCCATGTAAACAAACGTACGAAATGCCTTTGTAGCTGAATTATGATCTCGAAAAATTACAGAAAGAACTGAATTTCTTAACTTATCTAAAAGAACGAGTCACTGTTACCATAATCCATCGGATGGTATGCAAGGACTAAGATGTTCAGATGAACAAGTGCGAGTATACTCGATTCTCGAAGAATGCACTTAAAGAAGAAGAAGAAGAAGAAGAAATCTCATGGGCAGATGCTAAACTAACCCTAATCAGTCGAATTATGTGCGAGGACTAACCCTAATCTCTTGGATGGGTGGCAGACTAACCCTAATCAGTCGAATGCTAGTGCAAGGACTAACCTTAATCAGTCGAATAGTTTGCAAATTTAACCCATTTCAGTTGAGTGACGTAATTGTTACGTCATAGTCCAATGAGCGCGAGGATCTTGCAGATCTGGGGACCGGTGAAGTAAAGTCTACCCAAACGATTAAAGCCATGACATTTTATACATGTGTGGCAGTCAGCCAGGTTTGATGTATTGTGTACATCATATATAACTGTACGTGTGTTTCTGTCTAAAAAAATAAATCAGAAGAGCATCCATTGGGCCAATATCAGTCTGATTAAGCCAGACCCTTTATCTTATCATTGTCATACGCACAGACAAGAAGTTTGGCTGGTTTAAATCAGGCTTCCAAATAATTAAATAGAGCTTCATTTAATGTCTGCAGTGGCTGACAAATAGATTTTTAAGGCCCTTGTCCAAGGGCAAGTACATGGTCAAAATTGACTTGCCCTACCTGAATTTTTGCTCTCCCTACCATAAACTAATTCTGTATTTATCATGTTTATAGATATTTCAAAAAAAGAGGAAGACAAATGCTGAGTAAATCATGCAAGCCCCTATGCCCAGCTTTAAATTTATGGCCTACAAATAAATTATATTTTTGATAAGTCACTTGCCCACGGGCAAGTGGTTGATAAAATTTCACTTGCATACATGTACCCCTAAAATTCACTAGCCCCGGGCATCAGGCAATGGGATTTGTCATCCCCTGGTCTCTGAATATGCCAAGTGTAAAGTATCTCATTATGAAGCTCTAGAATGCTGGAGTAGATCACACTGAGACATGATGAACATTAAACAATTTTCTAATCCCTGATGATGATAAGAAAGGGGGCTGCTTCGAAAGTGCTACATAGACTGATGAAGTATGAATAGAGATAATATTTTTGATCAAATCATTTTGCCATTTTTTAAAAATAGATCCTAGCTGAGCTGCCATGTCTTCAGTGGATGAGGAGAGCCTGCCAGATCTCCCCCCGGATTCTCCAGGGAGTTCTGTGTCCAGCAGATTGATGGTAAGTTACTGAGAGGGGGATCAAAGAAATTGATGGGTGGATTCAAACTTTCTTTATTAGATGTGGTGTTATTTACATGTTGTTATCCCAAGTGAACTAACAAAGACATTTTTAAGTGCTGTTTTGATCTTATTTTTAGGTTTACTGTTTTTATTGATAAAAATATTATTTTTATCAGTCAGGGGTAAGATTGAAATCCATCATGATTTTGAAAAATGATTAATTATTGAAGTAGGATTCGGGACAAAAAAATATTTGATTTTTTTTTATTTTTGTGTGTGTAAAATAACTCATTTGAGTTATTTTTTTGATAAGTTAAACTTGTTTGAGTTATGCCCCTGACTGATCATTATATGAAAAAAAATGATGATTTTGAGTCATTATAAAAAATCAAAATTATGATTTGAAATCATCATTTTTAAAAATGATTAATTTCAGTCTCGATCCTGACTGGTCATTAAAATATGCATAGTACAATATGTGTAGACTAGTATATGTATATACATGTATTGCCAGGGGATATATGCTAACTAGTTGATGTTAAGAGGTAAAAAAGTTATACAGTAAAACACGTTTAGTACGAACACGGATATAGCGAATTCACGGATATAACGAAGTGTTTCTTGGTCCCCGGCAAAATTCTTAACAAATCTTTGTAAAAAGTTACGGTTATAACGAATTCTGATATAACGAATTTACGGATATAGCGAACTGAATTTGAGTCCCGCTGAGGTTAAATATAATGAATTTTACATCTTTTATAACGAACTTTCAAAGATTTCAAATTTTGAATAATTGAACTGACTATATTTTCTCTCAGCATTTGTATATAAAATTCAATTCACAATAAAACCTTAGTTATCCAATGTATGTTTTGTAATATTTGCTTCCCTAACATATTTGGTAGTAATACTTGAAGAAAAACATGCATATTGCGAATTCGCTATAAAGGTTATACGAATTCGTTATACAGATATAACGAATAACGGATATAGCGAATTACGGATATAGCGAATTAAATTAACAGGTCCCCAGGACTTCGCTATAACCGTGTTTTACTGTATTGACTCTTTTTTGTATCAGGAGGAGTATGAGGAACTTCTGAAGCATGCGGTGGTCGTCCCTAACTACGACCCCAAACATATCCCACAAACCATCACCGAGGTCAGGGAAACATTTCACCAAGTAACGAGAGAGACACTGGTTCAAGTTCATAGAGAGGAAGGTACTGAAATCTTCATAAATAAATAAAGTACCTTAACGTGTGTGTTGTATGCCCTCATGTTAAAGACACATGTTGATACAATCAAGGGTGAAAAGCCTGAAAAAAGGGGGAGGTGATTCTATGTACTGTACTCACAAAAACAAATATTGGATGAGACAATAATCTAGATGTAGTTTTTAACAGAAAATATTTGGAGAATCAAGAGAAATTTGCTCATCTTGTAATTTTCTTTTAGTTTTACCACAGAAATTATTTGTAAGAACTATATTTTTGAATTCAGAATCTGAAGATGACCCAGACACTACACCAGTGGTTGTCAAGATTACCAGAGAATCACAGCTTCCGGATTTTGGTCAAAGTCCAATCAACTCCCAGCTTTCTGAACAGTCAGATCCAGAAACACCTAGGAATGAAATGTCAGCAGGTATTGGGTTCATAAATAATTCATTACTTGTTTAAAGACGTATGCAATGTTTTAATTCATATTTATGGGGATGAAATTTCAATGTCCAAGTGTAGAAAATCTTTGTTATAAAGTTTGTCCAAATCTTTCCATTTATAAACATAATCATGGTACAATGTACATGCGGTGATTGTCAAATAAATTTTGTAAATTTATGCTTTCCTCAATTTTTGGTCTGACTCAGTAATGAAAACCATCAAACTGAGTGTTCATTGAAAAAGATGAAACCAAACAATGTAGATATCTCCTTTCTCCCAAAGATGGATTCATAGGGAGAATCTGAAATATATAAAACAACTAATTCTCATGGAACATGAGCTTTGTACAAAAAAAAAAAAAAAAAAATTGTTGTAAATTTTCATTTTTTATTTCAGAAGAAGAACAGCAAAAAGTCCCACCCCCGCTATTCCATTCCAAGAACACAAGCCAATCAGAACATCGAGAGGGTCAAAGGTCATTCCACAGTGAGGGTCAAAGGTCATTCCATAGTGAAGGGCATAGGTCATTTCAAAGTGAAGGTCATAGGTCATTTCCAAGGGAGCAGACCACAGTTGAGACAGAATATGTGTCAAGTATTGACCCAGACGTGACTAATATGGAAAACGTGCTGGATCATTGGACATCAGACCTGAAAAAGAATGTCTTGGTAATTAACATCATTAAGGTAGTTCTATACTCGGCACTAAATGGGCTCAATCTTTAAAAATCTGCTTTTATAAGATAGACATACATCCCAGCAATGGATAGACACAAGAAAAATGATATGTCAACGTGTTTACTTTTCCGCTATAGCCTATCGGAGTATATACCCCGAAATGTAAAATACTGAAAATTTACCTATCCTAGATTTTGTTGAATATAAATTAATTAAAGTCTAAATATTCAACTTTAATACCCAAATTAGAGTAGAAACATGTAAGTAAACAATATGTAATCCTTGTTTTGCATGAATTATTATAAATAGATGCACTTTGTTTGGCGATTGTATCAAAATTTAATGTGAGAAAATATGCTTCACAGGACAATCTCGGTCATTTAAAAAAAATTATGGACTCAAACTTTGTAAATTTACATTATTTTTACTAAATTATATTTAAGAAAAAGAATTAGCTGAAAAAAAATATATGTTGACGCATTACTTTTCGTGGTATGAGCTCTACACTAAAGGGACCCCCCTAATTTCTTTCTTCCAGAAGTAATATATTGCCACATATTCCTGTAATACTGTTGTTTGAGTGTATACTTGTATTAACAAAGTTGTACATAATTTAAAACAATTATTATACACACCTAAATCCTATTGTCCCTAAAATTTATCTTATTTTACTCAAAAAAAAAAAAAAAATAAATAAATAAAACACAGTAAGTCTTGTCTGTAAATTGGAGACGATGAAAATGAAAGTAATTGACTGATTCTCAGAAACTGGATGATTTTGTTACAGAAAGTAACTAAGTATGCTGCAAGTGAGTCAACTTTTGTCAAATACCGTACTTATATTTAATTAAAAGAAAATTTTGCATTGGGATTCGTGGTTACAGGAAGCAGGTTGGGGGAGGGGGGTATGCGTTTAATGCAATAATTATTATTCAAAGTAAATTTTGTAATGTTTGATAAGTAAAATCCATAAATTGTCTAATCAAATCGTAGTCATTACTTTGCTTCCGAATTATCACTATTAGCTTAAACTTGGTCGCCGACAATAGTGGCCACGATAGTTTGATACATGTTCTGATGTAGCATGTCAATGGTGCGTGTTTTCGGCGCGGCATATAAAACATGCATCATTCACAGAAATATCGTTTTATTACCTATTTATTTCTGTTAACCGAAAGTTGTTCCCAGCCTTCTCTTATTTTATTAATTTATCCTTAAACTGTAGAATCTGTGTTTGTTGACGCGACCGACTTCCAGCAAAATCGTTACTGGATATTTAAAACGCTAAGTAAAAGTCAAACCAATACAGTTAAAAAATCTCATCTCGGAAAAAGGAAGCGCGGTTCCGGTTTTACTATTCGTAAGTGACGTAGTGCGAGTATAGAACTACTTTAATTCTCATTATTGATTGTATATGATTACATTTATTAAGTATTCTTTAATAAAGCTTGAAAAAAAATCCTTTTTTTATATACAATTGTATTTCGAAACTAACATTTATATATTAGCCAATCATGTTGGTACTCTATTTAATAACTGATTAGTTTAAATAAATTAAAATGCAAAGTATACATGTATTTAAACTGAGCTTCAGTATCAGCTGAACTTTCTACATGAGAACATGTTTTCAAGCTTAAATTCAAATGATGGAAAAACTGAATGAAAAAATGTATTTTTTTTATTGCTTTTGTAGGCTGAGTTTAGTAAAGCCAAAATCAAAATTGTGGAGAGGTGTAAACAGACTCTACTCAGGGAGCAGGAGTGGTAAGAACTTGGAAATGAATTTTGATGAAGTCTTTGTCATTCAAAAAAAAATTATGATTTTCATTTTTGGACAAATCTTAAGATGAATATACTGGGGTAAGTACATGTAATTTAACCATGCTCATTTGTAAGAAGATGTGAGCATATCTCCTTCTAGAAGATGACCTTATGATTACATATAGATTCATTAAATTGTTAAAACAATGTACTTTCATGTTCCAATCTAATTAAAATTAGATGTTAGATCTGCTCACATACTCACTACACTAACATCTAACAACATCCCAGAGAGGGTCATGTCAGAGGTCAAATTTGAAACAACCAATCTAATCGTCACCTTCAAATCATTGGGTATTTGTTGACGTTATTGGAGCGTATAAATCTAGAGTTGTTCCAAAGAATGAGTGCACTTAAGTACGTCATTTAGAACCTTTTCGGCTACCCATTTTAAGCTTAACATTACAATATATCGCTAAATTAATCTATGATTAATGTGCAAGTATATGCTTTTGATATTTATTTCTAGAATTTTTTGTCAAACATATTTCTATAATTACAGAAAATGTAATTAAAAAGAACATGTAAAAGCCTTAAATTCCAGAAATTTGGACGGGACCACTTTCGAATCTAAGGTATCCGCAAATAGGCGGAGACATTTAAACCGCGTGGTTGTGGAATGTCAACATTAGCACTTATGACTTTTTTCGCACGACAAATTGAATCGGAGAAGAGAGAAAGAGAGAGAGATTGTGTTGATTTTATGATGCACAATTATTAAATGATTCTAATGTTAAGGGATGGGATAGATGTCTCGCTCGGCAGACCATTATACAAAGGCGAATAAGCCTATACATGTACTTACTAATGACACTGTCAATACCAGAATTCTTTCAAAACACCCCTAATGAAAAGCATAATGTTACATGTAAATAAGAGACACATTATCTTCAAACCCTATTAAAATTTGTGCAAAAATCTCCCATAGTTTGAAGTTGGAAGTACGAAAGATAATGTCACAACAGAAACTTAAACACAATGAAATTTTCAATGAAAGCGTTAGCGTATCGAACAGCAGAAGGTCACGTGAGAAAGGTGATTATAATATCAATCGTTGTTGCTCAGTGACCGGTTAATTTACTAGCTATTTCGACCCTAGTTTGGGGACATTTTTTTGAAAATTAGATATGAGCCGCAACTTGGCCAACATTGTCCTTTGGATATGTATAAGTTTAAGTTAAAATACATATTCTGTGCAAATAAGAAAAATGGCCAAGTTGCGGCTCGATGTAAACAAAGTCGTTGAAAACTGGTATGCATATGAATAACAATAGAAATGAGACAAAACTGTTAGACCCCCGTCTCAAAAGCTAGTTTCGCTCTGCATTATTTGATACTTTCATGTAATATAATATACCAAAACCTGCTCTTAAGATATTGTTTAATACCTATAAAACATAAATTTAATGAATTTTGGAATTTTATTTTGCGCAAGACATCGGGATCCAACTCTCATAGCTTAAGGTAAGTCACTCGTCAGCTTTTTAGAAAAGTTCACGCAGAAGCTTTTACTTCAAAACTACTAATCAAAATTCAATTTTTATAACATATTTAAATTCAACAATGTAAATTTTTTAACATTCAATGAAAAAACTGCTCAAAAATCTACAAAGAAGTAAGATTTATGAGGGACTATTTCTTTTGGTGGAAGGATATTTAGCAGAAAATTCTGCAAATCTGCACATTTATAAAATTTAATGTAATGGAAATTTAGCCTCACATACTTTTACTCGGAGAATATTTTCCGTTTTGATATTGCTAAATATATTTAATATAGGTCTTAATTTATATTTTTAGACTAAGTTTTACACCTTCCCTCAACAAACTTTTCCAAAAATTGAAAATATATTAAAGAAGTCAAGGTCAAATTTACACCATTTTTTGCCTGAAAATCACATATTTTGACAAATATTTCAAAATTAACATCACTGACCCCACCTTTTTCTTTCATTATTTTAAACTACTCGATACTTGTGACTGATCAGCACTCAAGTCGTAAAAAGTTTGATATAAGAAAATTTTTTATTGCCTATTAAGTTTTTTAATACCCCAAATATGTTATTTTTTAGTGCAAAAAGGTCACACAATAATTTACGCGCATTAATTTGCAAGATTTGTTTAATGATAAATATTATTCAAACTATTTTACGTAAAACAAGGTTGTATTTATTGCCATGCTTACATCTAATCAAATATAATAAGGGTTAAAGTAATTAACCAAAGAGATGAAATTTAAGTGCAAAAAGGTCAACTTAAATGTACCGTAGATCAGTAGGATGCACACTGACCCCCTATTTTCTTTGCGATTTTGAGTTACACTTTATGAGTACTTATTCAAAATATACTTCTCAAAAAATCCTTGATATAACAAATTTCAGGAGTGACTTACCTTAAGTGCACTCATTCTTTGACCTCTGACGTGACCTTCTATGATTAGGATGTTGTTAGATGTTAATGTAGCAAGTATGGGAGAGTATCTAACATCAAATTTTAATTACCCAGTAGATTGTATCCTGTTCATGTAAAGTATTAAAAATTCCTGTGAAAATTCTCTTCCACTTATGGTCTTTCTCAGTTTTTCTCTCTCTCCACCTTCCAGTTCTGCATCGGAACGAAGGAACCTCCAGAATGAGATGGAGAGAATGAAGGAGCTCCTCCACACGTACGAGACGTCGATACAGAGAAAGGACCAGGTCATATCGAACCTGACTCAGGCCCTCAGTAAACAGAAGGAAAAACAGGACACCATGAAGACGTTCTCAGAGTGGAAAATACAGCATGTGGATCTCAAAAGGGAGGTAAGTTTGGAGTTTCTTAGGAAGATACTTTTAAAAATGCATGTTGATCTGAAATATAAAGGTTGGTCTGTTGTTTTATTTCTGTGGTTGGAAGCTCATTTCAGCATGTTGAAGTAATAAATGAGGCAAGTCTGGTGTTTTTTTCACAGGAAGATACTTTAATGATGATCTGAAGATCTTTTATTTTAATTGTGTGCATCTATTCAGCATGTTGCTGTGAAAAGGGGAGTAACTCTGTTGTTTTAATGGTTTGGAAAATCATGTGTATGTTAAAGAGGAAGAAAGTGGAAGATGCAGCATTTTGATTTAATATTAGAGGTGTGTTGTTTTGTTTGTCTAAATTGAAGATAAACAAAGCTACCTTCAGAGAGAAGTAAAGTAGTTTCATTGTTTACTCTGACTTAAAGATCAGTGTTGATAGAAAGAGGAACATTTATCTATAGTTTTGCCTGTCCGTAAGGAAGATATTCTCTATGTTATTTTTAAAGGGGAGTAAATGCTTATTTGTGTAACAGATAAATGTGGTATGGTTTATTTATCATTTATTGTAAAAATTTCTTAATTTTTTTTATGCCCAGAAATTTGCAGAGAAGTTGGCCCAGCGGTACCATGAGCGAAGGCTACAACAGAAGGTTTGGGAGGCGTGGCACTCTGTGATCGAGAACAAATGGCGGACCCGGGTAGAGAAGGCATGTCAGGCCAAGGCTCAGGAGATTTGTATGCAGCTGACCAACGACTATGAGGCTAAAGTAGCAGATGTAAGAAGTGAAGCTATTATCTGTTATAAATAGAAACTTTTTGATCAGTGTTTTAGCTAGAACCCATTGTTTAAATATATATTATTAGGGTCAGTGAAAATCTCATAATGCAAAGTTAAGCCTTAAAAAGTCCTCTTTTTTCTGCAGAGAGATATTTATTGAGAAATTTTGTTTTCAATTATTGTCCCAGAAATGTTTGGATCAACCTAGAAACAATTCTGATTAATATTTTATTTAGAATGAATTGGTTTACTGTATGTACTAAGACTCGGTGACGATCGTCATCTAGCAAGTTAAGCTTCCAAAAGCTCTCTTTATTTCTCAAGAGTGATATTTTGTGGAAATTTTTTTCAATTATCTTGATGGAATGGCTGCTAAATCCATCTTATTTTATTTTGGTGAAAGGAGTTGTGCTTAATATTTTCTTTCTTTTTCACCATAAAATAAAATTTTTCACCATACAATATAGATATGACAGATTTATTTGGAAGTCCTAATTTGTTCTTTCTTTATGTATTTGAACCTAAATAACATGAAAATTTTAAAATCACAAGGCTGTTTTTCTCTGCCCCATATAAGTCAATAAGAATTAACTGTACTACTTTTATCTTCACAGCTGACAGAGTCCTTAAATGCTGCCCGCGAGGAGATATGTAAGCTTCACAAGGAACGAGAGCAGTACGAGGAAACCATGAAGAAAGCATTCATGCGTGGAGTGTGTGCACTTAACCTCGAAGCCATGACTGTATTTAACAAAGATGACCAAAAAGGTAGCTTATACATTCCAAAAATAGTCACAAATACTGTAGAAGTACTTTTTTCTGCGTGGTATTAATGAAGGCTATGTACGCAGTCATAAATTTTCCGCGAAAAATTGTCATTATGACCCAGTTGAAAAAATTATGTCTACAGTTATTGCATTTGATATTGTTCTTATTACAGATAACAGTATGATCTTTTAATGGAGTTATATGTGTACTGTAGTGACACAATTTTGATAATGATGTATTAAAAATGAAACAAACAGAATAAAAAAAAGGAATGAATTGACAAAATAAAGAACATGTTTTGCTGCAGGGCAAACACAAGAGTCAGTTGATCTTCTTGGCCATCAGATTCTGTTTTACTAGCCATTACTTATATGTGGTTAATAAATATTTTAGTGTATTGTTTTACAACAGAAAACAGACCGTCTGGAGATTTTTCGGATAATTTAGAGAGCAGCCTCCCAGAGAAGGATTTCAGTGCCCCGAAGACTATCCCCCAGGAACCTATATTTACTTCACATCCAGGATACGAGGCCTCTGCACCCAAGGTCATAACAAGTCAGGGGTCAAGGTCAACTACTCTATCTAGTATGGCACAGTCCAAAGCAAATATGGTAGGTATAGCTTGATGTTTGACAATCATTATTTAAATAAAGTATTACTGTAATACATCCAGTTCATTTTTTATTGAATGTAGGAACCATCTTTAATACCTAAGTACATGAAAACTCTTTTTGTTTTGCATCTATTTGTAGAGTAATAGCAACAGAATAAAATAATGATTGAGAAATTCATTGAGAACATTTTATTTTCTTCACAGAATTTACATGTTAATCAATAAATTATTATTATTCAATATACAGGCAGCTACAAAATCATCTTCTTCCCAAAAAGGAAAAATAGTTCCAGCTAAAGTTACAAGTAAAATTGACAGTCATCGACCAAGTTCTGGGTCAAGGGGCGGAGTTAAGACACCTAGGCCAGCCTCCTCTGGAGGGTCACGACCTACTGACCTTGGGGTCAATGGTGTAGCTCCGCCTATGAGTTCTGTCATAGTGGAAAGACATCAACCTGTTACCAAGGCAAGTATAACAGATACAAGTATTGTGTGTATTTCACTCCTGACTTTTATTGCAGCTGTAAAATAGCTTATTTTTTGTGGGATTAAATTTTAATGATTAAAGGAAAAAAACTGTTTGAAGTCAAAATGTACAATTACTTTATTTAATATTTAGAAATTATTATATGTAAAATACATATTAAAGCTAAAATATTAAAAATTTATTTGCATCACTATAGTTTGAACTTAAATATCAGGCCCCAGAATAATGAACTAGACTTGGACTTAGGTCAAAATTTTAATTCATACTTGTCAGATTGTTATACTTTATTATTGTAAACCGAAACTCTTAATATGTATATTACATCAGTTTGATGACACAAGGTACAGATTTTACAAAAGATACAGATTTTAAACTAAACAAGATATGCTTCATGATCCCAAGGTAAAATGTTTATCCCAAAATTTATAAAATAATTTATAAACTCTTCCCCATTTTGATTGCAGGAAACCATAGGAAAAGCTACAGCAGTAAAATACCCCTCCAAGAAAACGTCCACATTAGCTGACCATTCACAAGGGGGCGTGTCCCATAGGAAGATAGCAGGTCAGGCTTCAACTGGCCCCGCCCACATACAGACTGTTAAAGTAGTGGACTGATAGAGATTAGTTAATTAGTGATATGTACAGTATAATTTTTTAATTGTGAAAATAATTGTACTGAAATGCTAAAATGAATTTTAATTTATTTTTTCCTGTAGACAGTTGATTTAGATCTGACAGAATGAGAGAATGTAATGAATTTCTTTAGGAGTATTCAAAACATATTTGGAATTTTCAAATGCAGTTTAATAATTAGGCTTAAAAATGAAAAAAAAAATTTGTTTAAAGTTACTTTGGAAACCTTAGGGTTATTTCCATATATTGATTTAATTTTAAATTTTATATGAAAATTTGTCAGAAATAAAATTGAAATGGTAATTCACACAACTCAAAACTTAAATGCTCATTATAAACCATTTGAACTTATGCCTTGCAAGGTCTTTAAAAATTGATTGCAGCATGAAATTACGTTTTTTAGTATTTTTTAATATCTGTGATGTATTTATTTTAATATTTGTAAAAAATAAAATGATACAAATTTATAGAATGTTAATTATTTATCATAGCATTCTTGGAATGCTGGCTAAGTTTTGCTGTTATAAATAGACAAACAGATATCATTGTGTCTGTTATAACTATTTGAAAGGTGTATGATTTGATTTTCACCAAGTACAATGTAAGAGGCCTAACATGCATGTCAGTCTGCTGCAGCTGGCTTTGTGTCTAACGTCAGTGGGTGGAGACCATTGAAAACCTTGTGTTTTTTAAATTTAAAAAGACATCATTTTAAAAAAAAATTCTGCTAACAATTTGACTTGATTTACATATAAATGTACATGAAAATAAATATAAGGAATCAGTGTCTTCTGTGTTAATTATACCAGACATCAACAATTGTTGGAAATGCTCGATGAAACGCATAACTCATTTTACGTTTTAAAGTATCATTGATGCCCTTGCATACCCAACAAAATAGATAGCCATTCCTAAAATAAATGTAGTGGTTCGCACTCTAGGAAATTTCAAATAATCTTAAATTTTCCAACCAGTGAATGACGTCCTTCCGCTGATATTACTTGTAATGGAACCTGCATTATTTTGGTTTCTTGTTCGCAAATATATATTATCGCCCTTGTTACATAACACAACCACTGTCGTACCCCCCTGAGCATAATTTCCAGATCCAACCTGATAGACAGACCCCATGGCGTCATGGTTAACAATCGGCTCAACTGAGTAATAGGCACCGACAGTTACTATAAGCGTCCAGGAGAATACGTAAAGACCACTCTTAGGAGGAATGAAAACACCAGTGTTCCCATGGAATCCGTTGCCTTTGTTAGTTTTAACCACATCAAAGATGAGGGTATGATGACTTCCTATTTCATTCATATCGGCTGACATATAGGCGTAAAAGGCTATCGTTTTTTCAGGAATTGGTTGTGTGGGACCCGGCGAAAGTAGTCGATCTGTTCAAATATCCTTTTAAGTGTTAGATTTATATTTCTAGTGAATAGTGATATAAACCAAATGAACATTAAAATGTGACCAATTATATATTTAACCCGCATGCAATTTTTAAAATCCAGACATGCAGGAAAAATTTGGTATCTACATTACATGTTCATGTACTTCAATTTGAAAAACCAGAAAACAACTCTTAATAGTGCAAACTCCATAAAAATACATTCTACAAAAGAACATATTTTACAATGCCATGTATTTTATATTATGATGTGGTAAAATGTATTACATTTTCGAGTCAAAGCCACTCTTTCTTCTGCATGATTCCATATACATACTGGGTTCGTTGTTGTAAAGTCGTTTTCTTTCGGGCTTGAAGCTTAATTTGTCCCCCAAATCTTTTATTTTAACCTGTCCAATTCGATTTTCTGAAGGACATTTATTAGCCTTTCCATATTCATTGTCTTTTCGAAAAACATAATCGTTTGAGTAGTTCTCTCTTTGTATTTTATCTTTGAATTTTTTTCAGTATTATCTTAGATATGTAAGTCTCTTTCATAGGGGACTCGAGTAAATCCGAATTCATCTTTAATTTTTTTTATATCATTATTGTGCTTTCCGATGACACTTTCCTGGTTTTGTAAAGTTTCACTTAAAATTGTAATCCTGGCAGATTGTATTTTAACAGTTTTCTGAAGTCGTTTGATAATGTCTGCTTGCTCTTTTCCCGCTTTTCCGAGATGGCCAACAACATGCGATAGAGCTCTTAATTCTTTTTCCATATCATGGTTTGTCAGTGCCTTTGCCTCTGTGTACATCGTCACCAAAAAAATAACACATGGTAGAAAATTCCTGGTTTTACCTTCCATAATAAGTATTTCGAATACCTTTTTCTTGAAATTTTAAGGATACGTACTTGAATATAAGACCGCACTTGCAGTGAGCTATTCTGAACTACAATGAACTTATAATAAAGGACAGACCATTGCAAAAATAGGACATGAAACCTATCTTATCTAGCTAGCTATAGACGTCTATTATGTAAAGTGTGCAATTTAAATGAACGAAAAATAAGAACATTTTCCATAACAATGTTTTCCATGTTTTCCATAATTCTTGTTTTTATTTTTTTAATCTCGCTTTATTACCCTTGTTTCAGATATATATTATTCGATGTCTTTTTTTTCCTGGACTAGAAGAGTTTATGTTATTGATTTCACATATGTTAGAAAACCAGGAGATAAATGTTCAAAATATTTCATGGTATGCCTCCCGATTGTTTTGTTTTGTTTGTTTGTTTTTTTTTGGAGGGGGGGGGGGATATTGTTAATAAAATAATCACAGGTCATTCTATTCAGAATATCAATAATATCATAGCTAGTATTTGAATGTATTTCTATTTTCTGCTCTTTTCGAAAATTACTAAAATCATGTCAATGAACATAAACAAATTTCAAATTTCTCCGGTTCAAATAAAACAAAAACACAAATATGGGCCCTTAAAATATTTGAACACACAACACAGAAATTAACTTATTTTAATCAGCAAGTTGCCAAGCTTCAAGTTTTCAGATGTCTGTGTTACCGTTCGGTTTTCCTCAGGTAAGTTTGGTGTGGAGTGGAGCTTACTCGAAGCGGATGAGAAGCCCCGAGGGAACGACGCTGTCTAGTGTACATACTACCTATATACACAGGATGTTACCTGAGTGTATTACCTGTATGCGTTTTCCTACAACATTATAAAACGAAGCCGTTTTTTTTTCATGTAGCTCATGGATTGAAATGCATGAAATAAAGAATTCAATGTTTTTGTTGCAGACAGAATCCTTTTTAAATTTTTTGTTTCAAATAAATATTTTCAATAATTCGACAATTTTTATATACTGTGTTTTTCTAAATCAAATTTTATAACAAAAATACATTTTTTTACCATCAAAATCTGTCGTTGTAATCTGGCGACAAAAAGGGAAGTAATTCAAATTACATGTCATGTACATATGCTAAACGAAAGAAGAACGTGGATCATCATCAGAAACAAGTCTCTCGATAAATAACAATAAAACTTAGACAAAATCCACAAATGGTCAATAAACTGATAAATCAGCGGTAGTTTTATTCGTTAGACTTAAGAAATTGATATACTGATCAAAAATGAGGAAAAACGATCATGCACATGCCTTAATATTGTGATATTTTTCTTCTCTCTCTCTCTCTCTCTACTAACTGGTACAGATATAAACAGACACGAAATAACATAGCCATGGATCATTATTTGATTTAGTTAATATCAAATACTTCATTAATTTGTTTTAAAAGTTTTTTTTTTTTGCTTTAATTCTTTTTATACACTCCGTTTAAAAAAGCAACAATAATTTGACACAAATTCCAAGGCTAATATCGCATCTGAAAATGATATCGATGAAATAATAATGAAACAATGAATCAAATGTGTTGTTGAATGGCTAGACAACGATGCGCACATCCAGCGATCGTTACCCAAGACAGGTGTGAAACCCCCAGGGCATGTCGTTTCCTGCTCAGGCACTGCTAATCCCTATACACAGGATATGATCGCGGCTAATACTTAATACACAAAGAAACAGAATTTGTCAAAGAAAACAAAAACATATGAATTTTTGCATTGAATATTTATTAATATAAACTATAATTTCTGTGAAGTTTATCATTACACCTGCACATCCTATCTTATCTACTGAACACGAAAATCGAGAAATATTAAAGTTAAAAAGAAAGACATTGTTTTAAAAAGTAATACATGTTAATATGAAGGTGAAAAACGATATTTTTTCTTGATCTCTTGTATAAAGTTCACGTGCTCAAAGTTAACTCTAGCCATCGAATGCTTTTCGGTCTTTCGACAATTTGAGAAAAATGCCTGCACATTTATATAAAAGAGGGAAATAAATTAAAGAAAAGTTTTCTTAATTTGGGAACAGAACATAAACGATGAGAAATAAAGAAGAAAAGAGTTTTTTTCTTGATATCTTGGATGAAGAAAATTTAACTTCACGTGCCCACTACATGTAACTGCAAATGCTCGTCATCGGATGTTTTCCGGTAATTTGACACTTTAAGAAAAAGCCTGTACATTTTATATACAATAAATCGAAATTAATCAATAAACAATATGAAGATGTACATTTCTTAAAAGATGTACATCTTTTTTTTTTTTCAAATGAATGCTGAAAATCGTTTATCGAAACTTAAACAGTCTGAGTTCAACATTTATTACAGTTTGCATATAATATGAAGATTTAAAAAAAAAAAAAAAACTAATTAAAATTTCTAGTAATTAATTTTGTTTCTTGATAGATTCTTAATAACACAAAATAATTAAACATTGCAAAGACGTAACAATTTAATAAAATTTTCTATTCAATTTCAAATATTGATATGTAATTTTAGAAACAAAAATAAACTTATTTTTTCTTAGTTTAAATTCTATTCATAGCAAAATTAATTAATAAACACACGGTTTTTTATTGTTGTTGTTTTTTTTTGTTACAGGGAAAATTCGCAAATTACAATTCGGGGAGATAACTCCCGTTTGTTTACGATACTAATTGTCAGTAATTGATCGATGATTTAACCGCGGCGGGGACAGGTAAGTGATGAATTTCCCGCGGAGGGAACGCGGTTTACCTGTCTACCTGGCCAAATACCGCGTTGTGATTATACCGCGGCGGGGACGCGGGAAATACGGGATCCGCGTTGCCTGTACTGTATATGGAAACAATTCTAAGCATCGTTTACGAAAATATAACAGATTAAAAAAAATCTTTCTGAATGAGTTGCCTATTAGTATTGGGAATTTCCAATCTTTGCAATGTTTAAGGTCAAGATCTAGTAAATAACTTGACACTAATTTCTTGGTGCTAGATCCATTATGACGTCATAATCAATTTCAACTTTCTTTTTCCCGTACTTTAAGGCTTAAGCAGAATTATGTACAAAATAGGGTATTTTCATGTCATTCAATTTGAAATCATATGAAAAGTAAACCGGATATCTATATTAAATTTGATATTGATTTAAAGAAGAGGCCATAAACATACTAATTACCGTTTTCTGAGAAACTGTATGCAATCTGATACATTTTCTTTGCCGAATACGAAAAGAACTCCCATATTCAGGACTGATTTTCTTAATTTTTCATTGAAAATGACAGTTTAAAATACAGTTTTTCATTTTGTTTGCCTACAAATTATGCCCGGAAACACCTTATTTGACCAAGCTAAAGTTGTAAAGCATCAATAAAGGAAATTATTTCTCAAGTTTGATAAATCTGTAGGCACCTTTCATTTACTAGATCTTGACCTTAAAAAGAAAATCTTCCATCTCCAAGGTGTTATGCCTTTGAAATTTAGTGTAAAATGATGACGAAGAAGGGTGTCTGTTTCAAAATTGTGAATTTCATAGACCCTGAGGCAGCAGTTCTGGTGTGAGGGCGGGGCTGTATATATATATTATAAAATGAAAATGCATAATTTCTTTGGAAATGATTCTCTGTCTTAAACAATAAAAAAAATAAGTGCAGGTAAATGATGACCACTGGTGGCTCGTCCAATATTATGAAACATATGATAAGGGGTTCAGTGAATGGGTCCTTTTTGATTACATAAGAAATATCCTTTAATGCTTTAACTATTCTCTCCTTTGCTCCATGGTATGAAATAAAAAGAAACAATAATACTGAATTCGTAGTTAGGATAGGTAAGAATACCTTTTCCAAGTTTTGAAATGTGTAGACCAAGGGGCGGGTTTTTCGTGTAGGGTCAGTCCTCTACTGATTAGACAGTAAAAATGCATTAATTCTTTGATAATTCTCTGCTCTTCTTCTGGGCTTTGAGTAAATGAACAATACATTTAGTTTTGGATAATTTGTCCCAAGCCATACTCAGGTGATCTATTTGGTCTTTTGTCCTATTGTTCGAATGATTTTCGATAAAAGTTATTTATCAAGCTTATGTCATTCCGTACATTTCATCTAAATGGTGGCGCCCGAAAACTCATTATATTTTCGTGTTCAAAATACATATAGAAAAGACATGTATATTTCTCAAGGAAACTGTCTCACTTCTTCAGTGTATTAAATTTTTTAACAGAAAAATCTGATTTGACAAAATGATACATATTGTAAAACAGTAACATGAATACGTGAATCTACTAAATAAATTCAAAGTTTCCAACCAGCAAAGGAACTCCTTCCTCTCTCCTCACTTGTGATAGGACCAACATTATAATTTGCTCCCGTTCTTAAATAAATATCATCACCCTTGTTACAGAAAATAACTACAGTCGCACCACCCTGATCAAAGCTGTAGTTTTCAATATGATAGGTGGAGCCAACTACATCATGGTTAACAACCAACTCAACTGAGTGATGGGCACCTTTCACTACTCTAAGCGTCCAGGAGAATACATAAAGTCCGCTCTTAGGAGGATTGAAAACACCGGTATTTCCATGGAATCCGTTGCCTTCGTTAGTTTTAACAACATCAAAGCCGAGAGTGTGATGACTTCCTATTCCATTCATATCGGCCGACATGTAGGCGTAAAAGGCTATCGTTTCTTCAGGTATTGATTGTGTGGGTACTGGAGAAAGTAGTCGATCTGTTCAAAGATTACTTTAAGAGTTAGACTTATATTTCTAGTGATATACATTCAATGAAAATCCAAATATAACTAATTATATAACCAGTACGCAATTTTTAAAGTCGAGAAATGCCAGAAAATTTTACATCTACATAAACATTTACTTTAAATAGAAAATCAGGCAACACTTTTAAATAGTAAAAACTCAATAAGAACAAACTATTCAAAACTACATTATACATTGCTGGGTATTTTATAAGATATATAGTAAAAATAAATTACATTTTCGAGTCAAATCCCCTCGTTCCTCGACATGGTTTTGTATAGCGGGTTTGTTGTTGTAAGTTCTTTCTCTCTCTCGCGCTTGGAGCTTAACTTGTCTTCTGGATCTTCCATTTTAACTTGTCCAATTCGGATTTCTGGAAAAAGTTTCTTAGCCTTTGCACGTTCATTGTCTTTTCTAAAATCATATCCGCTGCTCCGAGTTGTTTTCTCTTGAAGTTTGTATTTTATCTTTCTAATGTCTTCAACGACATCTTCAGGTTTGTAAATTTCTTTCATAAGGGATTCAGCTAGATCCGAATTTTCCTTCTTTAACTTTTCTATTTCATTATTGTGCTTTCTAATGACACTTTGCTGGCTTTTTAAAGTTTCAATGAGCATGGAAATCCTGACAGATTGTTTTTCAACAGTATTCTGAAGTTGTCTTATAACGTCTGCTTGCTCTTTTCCCGCTTTTCTAAGATGGCTGACGTCATGCGAAAGAACTCTCAATTCTTCTTCAATATCATGGTTGGTCAGTGCCTTTGCCTCTGTGTACACGGTCACCAGCATAATGACACATATTAGAAAATTTCTGATTTTACCTTCCATAACTAGCATTTCCAATATTTTTCTTCAAATTCTAAGGACACGTACATTGATAAATTATCGCACTTGCAGTGAACTATTCTGAACTGCAGTAATCTTATCTTAAAAGGAAACACCATTGGGAAAATTTGGGCATGAAACGTACGTAATCTGGGTTAGTGTCTGCTACGTTAAGTTTGCAATAAAAAACGAAAACATAGAAAAATATATCCTTGTTATTTAAATTTTGTTTTTGAAATCTCACCTACTTCCGGGCCCTTGTTTCAGATGTATTATTTGATGTCTCTTTTCCTGTAAAATTATTCTAGTAATTTGTTTCATTGTCATGAAACAAATATTCATTGTTTATACTTTTGTAGCGTTAAGTTCAACCAGATTGTAGTAGAGTTAATGTCCATTTTAATGGGGATACATTTGTCATTTGAAAAGCTTGAATGATCAGTTTCAGATGAATTGCTACCTTTTGACTGGAAGACTATGTCATTGATATTACATATTGCGTTAGAAAACTAGGGGTCAAATCTTTAATATATTTCATGGCATGTCTTTTTATTCTATGCGTTTAAAAAAAATCAAACTTCTTGATCATACACATTACCCGAAACAAATCCGACAAATTTATTTTAAAAAACCTTTGTTATGAGTTATCAGGAAATATTAATCCCTTGTAATGATTAAAAGAAAACTTCCTAGGTATTATGCCGTAAATGTAAAGTGATGAGGAAGAAGGGTGCCTTTCAAAAATGGGAATTTCATAGCCCCTGAGTAAGTGGGTCTGGTGTGAGTGAACGTGAAAATGCATCAATACCTTGGAAATGTTCCTCTGTCTGGAACAATGAATAAATATAGACACATGCACAGTTTATGTTGTCCAGTGGTGTCTTGTCCAAAGTAATAAAACATGTGGCCATGGGTTCAGTGGTAGGGGCTTTTGATTATATAGCAAATATGCTTTTAAAAGAACTAAATTTGTAATTATGATAAGCAAGAGCACCTTTTAAAAAATGAAATGTGTGGCCTTAAAGTCATTTGCTTCTGTGGAGTGGGGACTCTACTGGTTAGATAGTGAAAATGCAATGGTTCTTAGATAATCCTCTGCTCTGCTAATGGGTGTTAAGTGAATGAACTATGCATTTAGTTATGATTCAATTGTGGAGAAATTGTTTCATGCTATTTAGGTGACCTAAAAAGCATGTGGGCCTTTTAATTTGCTCGTATAATTTTCAAAAAAGATATTTAGTCAAGCTTACGTTATTCTACAAAGAACACTATAAATTTCTTGTAAATGATGATGCTCAAGAACTAATCTTATATACTCTGTGTTGTGAATTCTGAACAAGTGTTCAAAGCAATAGTTATTTCCACAACTTTTAGTTTTCATTATGATTTTTCAAACATTACAAGAATAAAAAAAACATCGTCATCTGCATATTTGCGTGTTCAAAATACATAAAGAGAAGATATGGATATTTCTATTTTTCATTTAAATACTATAGTTAGTAAAGTCATCAACAGAGGAATTATATAAAACAGTAACGATGTAGACATTTATTTACTGACTCAAATTTTCCAACCAGCAAAGAAACTCCTTCCCCTCCCCTCACTTGTGATAGGACCAACATTATAATTTGCTCCTGTTCTTGAATAAATATCATCAGCCTTATTATAGAACACAACTACAGTCGCACCACCTTGATCATAGTTGTGGCTTTCGATTTGTTAGGTGGCGCCCACTACATTATTTTTGACCACCAACTCAACTGAGTGATAAGCATCGGCCATTACTCTGATAGTCCAAGAAAAGACAAAATCCTGTTTTGGGAGAAAAGAAAAAGCCGGTCTTTTTGTGGTATCCGTTTCCTTCGTTAGTTTAAACTACACCAAACAAGAGGGGATGGTGACTTCCTACTCCATTCATATCGTCTGAAATGTAGATATAAAAGGTTATTGTTTCTTCAACAACTAGTTGCGTGGGACCCGGTGAAAGTAGTCGATCTGGTCAAAGATCATATTTAGTGTAATTTATATTTATAGTGAGAAACACCCAAATGAACAAAAAATATTTAGAACAGATTATAAATCAATTATTTTTAAAATCCAGAATTTCCTATCTACACTGTACAGGTTCGTTGGTCAGCAAATCAGAAAACACCTTATAGTTTCAACTCAGTAAAAATACATTCTACAAAAGTTCAAAATATGGCTAAGAATTGTATTTTAAGATATTATAAAATATATTACATTTTCTAGTCAAAGTCCCCCTTTCCGCGGCATGGTTCCACATATAGGGTTCGTTCTTGTAAAGCCCTTTTCTTTCGGGCTTGGAAATTAATTTGTCTTCTTGAGGTACTATTTGAAGTCGACAAATTTGGTTTTCTGAGTATGTTTCTCAACCCTTTTATATTCATTGTCTTTTTTAAAATCATATCCTCTGCTCTGAGTAGTTTTCTTTCCGTATTTTATCTTTTTAATTTCTTCAGCTACATCTTTAGTTTTGTAACTCTCTTTGAAAAGGAAGTCGACTAATTACGAAATCACCTTCTTTAATTTTTGTATTTTTTTAATGTGCTTTTTAATGACACTTTACTGGTTTTGTAAAATTTCACTGAGCATGGACATCCTGGCAGCTTGTATTTCAACAATATTCTGAAGTTGTTTGATAACCTCTGCTTGCCCTTTTCCTGCTTTTTTAAGATGGTCAACATCATTTGAGAGAGCTCTCAATTCTTTTTCCATATCATGCTTAGCCAGAGCCTTTGTCTCTGTGTACACCGTCACCAGTATAATAATGCATGCCAGAAAATTCATGATTTTACCTTCCATAATTATTTCTTCGAATACTTTTCTTTAAAATCTATGGATACGTACATAGATGTAATATCGTACTTGCAGTGAACTATTCTGAACAACAATGATCTTATCTTAAAGGCAGAAATTTTAAGCACCGCCTTCAAAAATACCTGGTCAGGGTAGCCCTGTCAATCAAGTGCATGAAGGTCCATCATTGGATGCTGGAACTTGATTGACATTTACTTACTGGTCACTGTGTATACCCTGTACACCTTGTTGGGAACTCGTTGGAACTTTCAAATTAACTTTTGATCCTTTGATATTTACCGAACATGGTATAGAGAAACTGTATTACTATGATAATTTTTTGATTGATAATATATGAATTTAATATACCTTTAGTATTTGAAAGAATTATAATATAATCTGCATTTTTTGATTTTAAACAAAATCTTTGGTACATAAAATTTTGTTTTACCAAATGAATTTTCGATATTAATTTTGATATGCTAAATGATAAACCTAAAGTGGAAATGTTATTAATAAAGTTCAGAGCAGCACTGTGTGGAGTAATAGAATTAAAAAAAAAATCTATAAATGTTTATAATCATGGCTCACTTATATTTTCCCTTTTTATTCAGATAAGAATTTACAAGCAATCTTTTTAGGATTTTTTATGGTGACAAAGCCTTATTAATAAGATTAGGATAAACTTAGATATTTTTAGCCTAATGAAAAGTAGTTAACACGGCTCTCTTTTCATTTAATAGATGGGATCCGGGGGATAAATGAATTAAGTCTAATTTGGTTGTTACAGGAGTTGTTTTTAATTAACACATACACTAACCTGTAAAATAATCTTCGTTTTAATATTTGAATTTATAGTATGATATCATAATAATTTTTTTTCTTAATAGGTAGGGATGTTTTAAAACATTCAAAAACAATTTAATATATAATTGAGAAAATTTTAATTACTAATTTAAAATTGTCTCAAAATCCCCATCACAGGTAAAGTTTGACGTCTGGGTATTACACTGTGTATTAAATCACTTTCTGTGTATAGGGTTTAGGAGACAGTTGACCACAGGTAGACTGCTAGCCCCCAAGGCATTCACACCTGTACAAAATAAGCCCCTCCCTCACCTGGAATTTACCACCCGGTAAAAAATCTCTGCCTTTAAAAGGACAAACCAATGAAAAAATAGGACATGAAACCTACCTAATTTAGCTAGACGTCAATTATGTAAAGTATGCATTTTTCCCAATATTTTCTATAATCCTTGTTTTATTTTTTTTTATCTCGCTGAATTCCCATTGATTCAGATAAAATTACGTTATTCGAGGTCTCTTTTTCCTGTATAATTCTATTAATTTGTTCCATGATGTCATGAAATTGACATCCAGTGCTTATACTTTTGTAGTGTTAATTTCAGCCAGATTGTCAGGGAATTAACATTTCCTTTTTAAGTTAGGATTTTTTACTGGTTTCTGAGTAGATGAAATATTCAATGTATATTTGCTTAATATATGTCTTATATATTTAGGTGAAAAAAATTTTAAAGACCATATTTGTCTTTCCTTATCACAATTGTACAACTTTAAATACAAATGGTAAAATGTGTTCGAAAACTAGCAGGGACTGTATTTTTGGAGGAATGGTGGCGGATAAAAATATCATCTTTTCTGCTTCTCAAAATCATTACAGAACAACGAATTTAGTTATCATTTTTACACAATCAAAGACTAGAAGAATTTTTGCGAATGTTAGCTATATTCATGAAAGGGAACTAAAGTTTTTAAATATATCAAATAAATATGAATTTCCAAACTAACTTCTTAAAAGCTTCCAATCTAAGTAAAAATATGAGCCAACAATCAGTAGTGTTTTTACTCTCTTACTAACCCGTCAAACTTTTTTTGGTATCATTTTGTATTTTAATGTGACTTCTTTACCATATGTTAAAATAACAAAAATTAAAATATAGTGCGCATATTAAAATAACTTAAATATTCTAAAAATTTAAGAAAAATAAAGAAAATATGGATTAGCTAAAATCCATTTTTGTTAAATTATTGTGTCAGTTTGGTAATATCATCTTATAGACCCTATATGGTAATATCTATTTATGCAAAAAGAAAAAACACTTTATCTTTTGAAATAGCAGACCCTACCTCATGACTGGATGCAGTTATATTAGATTCTTAATGACCATGAAAAAGGTAATGACCTTGACCTGACCATGACTCTAATATAACACGGTCAAAACTAATCTAACTGATACCATCACTTAGGAATAATGTCGTTTTGATTCTTTAAAAAATTCATTAATTTTTAAATACAAGAAAATACAGTTTTGTTTGAGGAGAATCCTACTTTAAGGAGGGAGTTGATAGTCATCTGAAAAATTTGCATGATCAGTTTCTGACATATTGCTACCTACTTAATAGAAGTATATGTTATTGATTTTACATATGTTAGGAAACCAGGGGATAAATGTTCAAAATATGTCATGGTATGCCTCTCGATTATTTGCATTTTTTTATTTCAAAGTTTTTGATCTACATCTAATTACATGAAACAAAATCAAAACATCGTTTACCAAAATAAAACACAATTTAAAAAAATTCTGTCGGATGCGTTGCTGTATTAGGAATTCCCAATCTTTGCAATATTAAAAAGAATATCTTCTTACTCCAAGTAAGTTTCGTGTAAAAATATGATGATGAAGAGTGTCTGTCTCAAAACTGTAAAAAATGAAATTCACATTTATCAAGCTTACTTTAATCAATACATTTCATGTAAATGGTGGCGCCCGAGAACTCATTATATTTTCGCGTTCAAAATACAGTTAAAAGATATGTATATTTTTCAAGGAAACTGTCTCACTTCTTCAGTGTATTAAAATTTTAACAGAAAAACCTGATTTGACAAAATAATACATATTGTAAAACAGTAACATGAATTCCTGAATCCACAAAATAAATTCAAATTTTCCATCCAGCAAAGGAACTCCTTCCTCTCTCCTCACTTGTGATGGGACCAACATTATAATTTGCTCCTGTTCTTAAATAAATATCATCACCCGTGTTACAGAACACAACTACAGTCGCACCACCCTGATCAAAGCTGTAGTTTTCAATATGATAGGTGGAGCCCACTACATCTCTGTTTACCAGCAACTCAACTGAGTAATATGTCATTACTCTGATAGTCCTAGGAAAGACGTAGAATCCGCTTTCAGGAGGCATGAAAATTCTAGTGTTTCTATGGAATCCGTTTCCTTCGTTAGTTTTAACCACATCAAAGATGAGGGTATGATGACTTCCTATTCCATTCATGTCGGCCGACATATAGGCGTAAAATGCTATGGTATCTTTATGAATTGGTTGCGTGGGACTCGGCAAAAGTAGTCGATCTATTAAAAGATAATTTATTTTTTTTAAGTATACAGTGATATCTTAGTGATATCTAGTATCTTTTCTAGTATTTTTTTCTTTTTTTTTTCTAATTATCTTTTCTATTCAGATACACTGAATAAAAACTCAATGAGAATAAAGTCCCCAAAAGTACACAATACATTGCTCGGTATAAATAAGAAATAATGAATATATATTACATTTTCGAGTCAAAGCCCCTCTGGATCTTTCTTCGGCATGATTCCATATATAGGACTCGTTGTCATCAAGTCTTTTTCTTTCAGGCTTGAAGCTTAATTTGTCTTGTGGATCTTCTATTTTAACTTGTACGATTCGGTTTTCTGCAGGATGTTTTTTTTAGCCTTTTCATGTTTATTGCCTTATGTCCGCTGTTCTGAGTAGTTTTCCCTTTGTATTTTATCTTTTTGATTTGTAGCGTTGAGTTCAGTCAGATTGTAATATAGTTAAGGTCCATTTAAAGGGGGATACGTGGTAATTTGGAAAGCTTGAATGATCCGTTTCAGATGAATTGCTACCTTTTGACTGGAAGATTATGTCATTGATATAACATATTGGGTTAGAAAACCAGGGGTCAAATGTTCAAAATATTTCATGGCATGTCTCCTTATATGCATTTAATAAAAAATCAAACTTCTTGATCATACACATTACTCGAAACAAATTCCCAGTTTTGAAAGGCACCCTTCTTCATCATCACTTTACACTAACGTTCACCGGGATAATACCTAGGAGAAAAAAGGAAGTTTTCTATTCATCATTGCAAAGGATTAACATTTGATAACTCATTACAAAACCTTTTGTAAATAAATATAAGTGCATGCACAGTTTATGATGTCCAGTGGTGTTTTGTCTAAAGTAATGAAACATGTGACCATAGGTTCAGTCGGTGGGGCTCTTTTGATTTAAGAAATAAAGTCCGTGTTTTCGTGAATATTAATGTTGCAGGATAACCTCCGAGGTCGAGAAATGTTGTTTGAAAGATAAAAACCGAGGCGTTTGCCGAGGTTTTTATTTTTCAAACAACATTTCGAGACCGAGGAGGTTATCCTGTAACATTCACGACAATAAGGACTTTATTTCTATTCTATAAAGATCATGAAGATCGCTAAAATACGCTTCGTCGTTTCCTCTATAGAGAAACAAAATAGGTCTCCATGTCTCGATTACGCTGTTCCATTTAGCACCAGAGGGAAAATTTGTTTGCTTACATTTGTATGGAATGCAGACAATTTGAGCTTTCTTTGCATTAAAGATAGTCTTTTTAAATTTCAAATTTGTTCGTTATATGTATTGATTAATTTTAATGAGTATACAATAACTAAATCATGTTCCTTTTTAACTGCCTTATTGGAGTTTAAATGTGTAGGGAGGTCCGTGGAATAGCCCTTTTGGCTATAAAAAAAACTGACATTCATCAGCAACTTGATGCAATTTACAGTGTTCAGACTGCAAAAGACGACACGTCGATGTGGTCCAAAAAAGTATTTAATTTTAGAGTCAAATATTTATTTCAACTGCGCAGGTTTGGTACGTTTTTCTGATCTTATAATTTTTGATGACGTTCGTGATTTATTGGA